TCCTTAGGAAGTTATTAATATTGTTTATCCAAAGTAAAGGGACAAAATGCCACCCTGTGGAATACCGCGATCGTAGATCTCACATCTGTTCCGTAGCATATAGTTGATCCAGAATTTGATACGAGTATCGGTGTGTACGTTACTGAAGCCGCCTTTGATATCAATGTATACCGCCAGTTTGATATCGAAGGATTCATCTATTATACAAAGCGGTTTCTTTATACAAGCCGGTTTCCACCGATCAGCCCTTTACATAAGCATGATGGTTATATTTGAGGTTTTTGTCTGGTATACTGCTTTTAACCATATAGGCTATCCGTTCCAAGATTTTAGGTAAGAATTACGTAAGGCATATTAGTCGATAGGACTTAGGTGTGGCATAACTACGTATTCCGAGTTTGTGGTATCTGCGAATTTCAAGCAGGCAGTGAAAATCTTTGACCGATGAACCGAAACCGCTTCCATCTGAAAAAAGTGCCGTAAAAATACTATCCGGTCTTGCAGCTTTATAGGGTGTAAAACTCTTGATTGCCTCCTTAACCATGACATTTATAATAGCTATCTCCGAGTTAGCCTCCTCTTCGCCCAATATCGGTTCATCTATGGTATTCTGTATACCAAGTGGGAATGAATCCATGTCATCGATCATAGGGATTTCTTCATTTACGTAATCTACCTGTTCACAGAAAAGTTTCTAAATTTCTTCTTTGGATTTTCAAAAAAAATATTTTATAAGATTTAAATTATTTATACATGAAACTATATTTTGGACTTATGACTGCATTGCGGTAAATGTACCACTTACTAAGTTGTAAACCTTTACTTTTTTAATTTTTTGTGTCGCTCCAAACAATCAAAATCAAACAGACTGACTGACTGGTTTCATTTGACGTGAGCTTCATTCATTTAGGGGGCAACAAACGCAATCAAAATTGTTCTACATTTTTTTCATTCATTTGCATTATTGAATTTATGAGTTTTGGCATGATTTTATTCTCTTATTTAAATTTTCATTTCTATTTACACTTTTATATTCGTTCGATTTATATTAGGATTGCACAGATTTTACTTATAAACACATTCATTCAATCTTTTGCTAAACTTAAAATTGTCATTAAAATTGAACAATATATGAAAATTTATATTTGTATAAATCAGAGATAGCTCAAATATTTATAATAAACTTTGGGAGCTTTACGAAACCATAAAGGTATGAAATTCGTTGGACATCGTTAGTAATCCCATTCCCGATAATGCCCTTTCTCTTCTGCTGCAAAAATTTTAAAACATTTTGACTATTAAATTGCAAAAATAACTCTATATTGTTTATATTCTCCAATAATTTGGGTAATATTGAAGTCTATCTTGCGCTGCTTCGATAATGTATACAAATCTTATATATTTGCTCTAACACTTAATATTGGTCAATTGACATTTTTTAAAAGTAGTCTTTCATGTCCATATATCTTAAATTCAAATTAATCAGTTCAATCATAACGTTCTGATTATATTCATTCATTTTTAAATGTTTTGATTTTATTCAAATCATATTTTTTCATTCAAATGTGTTTTTATACTCTACACCACTTTAGTGGGGAGGGTATATTGGGTTTGAGCTGATGTTTGTAACACACAAAAATATTCGTCCTATACCCACCTTAAAGTATACCAATCGGCTTAGAAACATTTTCTGAGTCGATTAAGCTATGTCCGTCTGGCTGGCTGGCTGTCCATGTAAACCTTGTGCGCAAATTTCATAAAAATCGGGCCTCTTTTGACCCTAGCTCCCCCTCTAGAAAATGACTTGAACGTTCAAAATTCACATAAAAATACCAATATCGCGATGAATTTCAGCACAAATAAATATTATAAAAAAATATAAACACAAAATTGTGAATTTTGCAGTTCTCTGGTATAAATTCAGGGATTCAAACAGTTATTGAAACATTTTACAACATTTGTCAAATTTACCATGTTAGTTACAATTTTTCGAAAAAAAATTATTTAAAAACAAAATTATTATAAATAATAAAAACAAATTTTAACACTTAACACAAATGTTAAAACCTGAACCTGATTTTTTACGACTTAGTTTTTGAATTTTAATTTTTTTTCTGGACTCAGTTTCTTATAACTTCTTCCGCACATAAATATCCTATTTTGAAAATAATTTAATATTATTATTCACAAATTTTTGTTGTGTCGGCCCACGATATTGCATAACCCTCATAGAAATGACCGCTTAGAAACAATTAAAATATATATATGAGTATTACATCCCAGCAAAAATAAAGCGAAGTAATTCCAAAAGAATGACATTTATCACCACTTCAACAGTAATAATTAGTTTTTTTACATTCTGTGGAAGTGATGTTTAATGACTTCCGAAGAAGCGAAAATAATAAAAAGATATTTTTTTTTTGTATTACATTTTGGTGAGATCAAAACTTCTATTTTTGAACTTCTGTTTTAAATATATCTACTACCCTTATTAATGGTTATATTATTTAAGTCAAATTAGTTGTACCTATTCTTTAATAATAATACAATTTCACTTCCGAATAACTTCCAAAAAAAGAGCATAAAAATTACTTCTTGAGAATGACTTCAGAAGTAGTAAATTTGGAATCAAATAAAAAGGACATCCCTTCTATGACAAGCCGGTGTTAAAATCATCACTTCAGGTCTTTTTCAGGACATATATGAAGTTAATTCTACTACTTTTTCGCTTCTTTGGAAGGTCTTTTTTTGCTGGGATACAATATTTTTTTATATTTCAAAATCATTGTATTTGAACGAAATATAAGTGTTGTCTTACAGTATTTTGCCGCTCACTACCATTATCGTTAAAATATCGGTAACGAAATAATGGAAACCTTTACCTTTCAACTGCATCTAAACAGTAGCTAAACTTTAAAAAAAAATGAAATATGTTTTGGGGGCAATTCTAATGTAAATACACAACAACGCGAAATTTTGATTGTTTGTGTTGATTAACTTCAACGTTGATTTGTTTCCTAAAATTTATGGGATATGCAGTATACATTCGATTGTTAAACGTTATATTTCTATCCATTGAATTTTATTTTAATTGTTGAACAATATATTTATAGTGTAGTGATTTTAATTTCAAAGAATTTCTTTTTATTATTCAACATTCAAAATAAGTAAGAATCTTGTTAAGTTGGGACTATTAAAATTATAATTATATTTATTTAATTATAAATTGATCAATGCCTGATAAAAGAAATTTTGGTAAACTTAAGAATTAACTTTTTAACTCATTTTCCTCGTCATTCGGAATTTTGTTGTAATAAATCAATTTTCTGGTTGTAAGTAAAAAATGTTCATACAACTAAAAGAAGACACCCTATATATTTTGTGAGTTAACCAAAAATCATGTTAACTTTTTAGTAAAAATTCTTAAGTTAACAATAATTGTCGTTATGTGGTATTCTGAATTTTATTTCACTGATTTTTTTGGTTAAACATAATTATTAGTTAACGAAATTCAAATTTTGGAACAGTGAATATAATATATTTTTTGATATCATCCTATTACCAATACACCAATATACTCAAATTCTCAATAATTTTTTGCGAAATGCTAAACACTGTTCTACTGCATGCAGTCAAAGTCATCATTTCAAAATATTAAAAAAATTTCTTTTGTAGAGGCTATATTTTATCATTATTTTTAAACGTTAATTCTGGAAAGTAAGAAAATAAATTTCAATAACTGTCAAATGGATAGCACCTAGAGGTGTCACTAGTTTTTATATATTCTTGTAAATGGTTGGAAATAATATTCTTTTACATCGAAAAAGACAATATGTAAAATAACCTTGAAAAAATTGAATTTGATTTTGAAATTTTAACTTCATGAAAGCTTTTAACAAAATGTTAATGTTTGTTAAACCTGAAATAAGAAGAAATGAATAACCTGAAATGTTGTGAATTAGTTTCACTTTACCCGAAATTGCGCATTTCTGTGCGTTTTGAGTTATTTTATATTTTCTAGGGTACTACCTCATAAGCATTTTCAAATTTGATTAAAGGACTACGCAAAGGATGATGTCCTCATCAGACATGTATTTTTGTCAACCTGTTATCCATGGTATTTGCAAGGAATTGCAGTATTTAAAGGTTCGAATTTTCGTAATTTCTTAGCAACAAAATGGAAAATTGCGGTAGGAAGGAAGAAATTTTTTTTATAAAAACTGATTTATTATTTCGGGCAGTTGCAACCGCTGCTTGCAAGTAAAGACTTTCACGCTGGAAATTAGTTCTAAAAAACTTTTGGGAGTCCGACAAGTCCTTCCATAATGAAAAAAAAAAAAATATTTTATATAAGTCATCTTAATTGTAGACAATGGGTTAATAACCATCAAAGGATTAATTTTCGCTTAAATTTGTTCTAATATACCTATTTATGCATATGCTACATCTTAGACTTTAAAGAGTTTCATTATTTTGTCGATCTTAATTTCGCACTGAAAAAGTGATGATTTGAACCAATGTGCAATGTAACGACAAATGAAAAGTTCACGTTAATAATTTTATATTTTAAAAATATTTCAATACAAAACTTTTGACATTCTCATATTTTTCCGATCTTTGTCGTTAAAATATTCGAAGGTCGTTAAACAGTTACAGAATTGAAAATTCGTTAATGCAACCGATATTTGTCGTTACTTTACAATATCGGTAGTTAAAATTAAAAAAATACAGAATTGCGGTACTGATCATTTATTTATGCACTAGAAGCTAACTCATCATGAGGTAGCTTCTGGTTAACTGAAACTGATGTATAGTGAGTGAGTACTACTGACTCCTTTCTATGACATTACATTGAAAAACTGAATAGTATTTTATAAGCAAAATGGTTAGCTTTTGAGTCACCTCTGACTCATTTGGGGTTAACCACAAGTTATTTTTAACTCAAAATCCAACTGAAACAGTTTCTTTGTTTTGAATAAATATATTATAATTTTTTTCAGATGTGGTTGAACTTTTGGTCGTATTTGAAGAGGACTTCGAATTGGTATTACGGCCTGTAATGGAACAACAATGGATAGAGAAGAAGAGTGCAATAATGGCTTTAAATTATTTCAATTTTTTTACTACTGATCAGGTAAATAATTTAATTACGTCTTGCTGATGTCTGTGGTTCGTGGGCATGTGGTCGTTGCCTACTCTGCAAATAAAGAATACAATTTGTAATTGTATTGTAATAGACAAATATATAACTACCCATGATACAACCATAGAAAGGTAGAATCAGTAGGGAGAGTTGTCAATTCTCTGCCTTGTTAAGTCGAACAAAAAAGAACTAAAAAGAGAAAAACTTCAAAATCTTCAAATGAAAAACCACGGAAAATACCATGAAATGATTCTTGAACGGCACATGCAAACAGCATTCCACACTTCTGTATCCTGTTTTTTATTTTTACTCGTTTTGCGATATTTTTCATTCAAATTATTAAATTTTATTTTCTTCACAAAAAAAATTTTCAATAATTTTTCTTTGATGTTTTTTTATATTTTTTAATTTTCTTTTTTGTGACAATTCAAGGCATGCATGTAAAATTGAGAACGTATATTTCTACTGATTCTACCTTACTATTGTTTTATTATGCAACTACCGATATATTAATGTGCCATAATGCCATAAATTTTAAATATGTTTCGTAAGTTAGTCCTATATATGGCCTTTTTAATTATGTACTTTTGTTATTTGACAAACAAATCTCTAAAAGAATTCATTCCGTAATTCTTTTTTTTTTTTTTTTGAAATAGGGTTATATTTTAAGGAATTAACCATTCTTTAAACTTAATTCCTATGATTTAATTCCTAAAATTAGTTTTTAAAGCTTTCGATGTGGTTAATTCACTAGAGAATTCATTCCTATAGAATGTTAAATTCCTTCCGAATGAATTAATTTTGTTTGCATTCAATCTGTTACAAATTGAATTAAAATAAATTTCAACAATTCCTATTGATTTTTAAATTGCCTCAGAATGATAAAAATTTTGTTTGAATTCAATCTATTACAAATAGAATTTAAAAAATTTTCAACCATTCAATTTGAAATAGATTGAATGAAAGTTTTGATTTATAATTCAAAGGCATCCTGTATATTAAAAATTGAATTAATTTTTTTTTCTTTCATTCAATTTGTAATAGAAGTAATTAAACAAATAAAAATGATCATTCAATTGAATTCATTGCTATAAAGAATGAATTCTCTAGGAATTAATTCAATGGAATATAAAGCCAAGGAATTCAGCTTTAGAATGGTACATTCAAAGAATGATTTAAAAGAATGATACATTAAAAAATTTAAAGCCGAATTAAAAATATAAGGGAATTAAATCCAAATAGAATTCATTCTTTCAAAGCTTTGTTTGACAACGATTTAATCAATAATACAGAATTTAGTGAAATTTTTTATCGTATATCAATAATTACGTGAGATTCGAGACTATTTTCTAAATAGTGCATTGAATGGGGGTAGAGATAAAAATTTTTGCATCGGTATTTAATTCTTGTGTTAAGAGAATATTTAAAACTACATTTTATTTCTATTGAATTTTGATGGAATATATCCAAAAAAAGATATCTCAGATTTTCTTTGTTTTCATTCTAAATATACCTTATGTCATGTCCATTAAAGATCAAAAAAGAAACCCACCACATTTGGAATATAAGATTGATTGATTAAGAGGGCACCAAGCACTACGACTCAAGTTAAAATCTTTTGTGCAGCCCTTTTGGTTCACCATTGGTGAGAGATTGAATATTTCATTAGGCGAAAGAAAAGCGCCTCCCAGAATACTCACTCTGAGAAACCATAATGGCTGACAGTAACCAGAGATGGGGGTAGTGCACTAATTTTTAACTATCACTAATTATTAGTGGTAGTTCAAAATTATTCACTACTTTTATTTATGTTTAGTGATGAATTGAAAAATGTAAGCCTCATTCAATAATAGTGATAGTGATATTTAAAATTTTTAACTAAAAATATTTTAAAAATATAAACAAATTTAAAGCCTAGTGAAATAATTTTTTCTACACTAAATTATTAGTTCAAAAAATATTCCTGCACTATTTTTTTCAACAGAGAAATGTTTCACTCATTTAAAAGTTTAAGTTAATAGGACAGTCTAGAAATGGTTTAAGTCAACCAAAACCTCATTGGACGAATATTATTAATGAGTAAAACGTTCATTATTTACAAAGGTTTCAAGCTATTGCCTAAAAAACATCCAGTAACCACATCATTTTGGCAACTGGCAACGCAGATGATTAACCAATTAATTTAATTCTCCGAGGAGAGTTCATCATTCCGCTAAGAAAAAATCGTTATACTTGAGCAGAAGAAGGCAAAAGTTTTGAAATTTAGGTGTTTCAACCATTTCTTTTAAAAGCATGAGATGTTGTTGGGGTAACTGCATATGTAGGGTCTATCATAGTGCCATCGCTAACAAAATCTGTATTTTCCATTTTAATAGATGTACCTTTTAAAAAATTGAATCATTAATTGTCTTACAAATTCTTTAATTTTCATAAAAAAAAATAGTGCAAAGAAAATTATTGAAGCCTTTTGTTAGTGACTGTTCAAATTTTTAACTATTTGAGTGTAGTGCTTTTTTCTACACTACTACTCAATTGAGTTATAGTTAAAAAAATAACATTATCACTAAAAAATATTAGTGCTAAAAATATAAGCTTCACTACCACTAAGCTCCTGAAAATGAGTGAAAAATTTTTTAAAATAATATTTAGTGCTAGTTAAATATTGATTTAACTAATAATTTAGTGCACTACCCCCATCTCTGACAGTAACAAAGTACATGTTCAGAGGTTTCATCATGCATTTCGCAGAATCTGCGTAACCTCGTCACATTGTTACCTAGAATGTGCTGGTGGTATCTAAGTCCGTAGTGTCCGGTATAAAGTCCCGTTAGTAATCTTCACTCTTCTTAAGTAACAGTAACTTTTGGGATGTACCTTTCATTAGCATTATATTATATTGACTCCCAGTGGCGAAGAAATTCAGATTCAATATATGAATCGTATTTTTCCCTAATGTATCCCTTGAGGAACCAAAGAATGGTTTTGGTCCAATAAATGGGCGCTTGTTTTACAGACAATCGGCTCTTTCATTGCCAGAGTTTATTTGAGTTTTTTATGTTTACCCAGTTCATTTAGAGATGTCAAGCAGTCAAGTACGACACCCGACCTGATTCATATGATAGTAAAGTCTTAAAGGCCGCCTGACTATCCGGCATCACAAAGATCTTTAATCCTCTCAGTTTTCTTCTCAGACATTCTCTAATGCAAATGATAATTACATACACCTCTGCCTGAAAGATTGAGGGGTAATTACCCATAGAGATGGCCTTTTGGAAATTTGGGCTATAGATTCCCGCTCCAGTATTTGTCATTTATCTGTTAGGGACCATCTGTAAACCATACTTGATCAGAATGCGCCTGCCTCCAATTTTGGTTTGTCCATTGGTCCCTGTTCGGTATAAGCACCTTAAAGTCTCTGTATCAAAACTCTGAACAACAGTCAGGAATCCATAAATATGTGTCCCACCAACTTGCCAACTTTTAAACTGGTTATTTCCGGTAGGCGAAGTGCAGATTTGAGCGCCTCATCTTTTATTAGGATGTGTAGTGGGATGTGCAGAATAGCACCAAGAGCATATGTGGGACAACTTCTCATGGACCCTGTTATGGAGACACAAATGAGACGATAGATTTTGTCCAACGAAACACTTATCGTAACCTGATCTACCTTCTTCCACCAAACCAAGGCATCGTAGGTTAGTTAGTAGGTTTATTATGATTTCAAAGGTCCAGAAGATCATTCTCGTTTTTAAGTCACACATTCTACCAAAAAGTCTTTGACAAGCATACAATGCCCTAGTGGCTTTGTTGATAGTATTGGATATGTGAAGTTTCCAGTTCAGGGTTTTATCGAGAATGATCCCCAGGTATTTAACATTTTCCGAGAATTTAATAACAGAGCCATTCAGAACTGGCTCGACAAGTCTCAGACATCTACGTCTTGTGAATGGTATGAGGATAGTCTTAGATGGATTGATTGTCAATCCTCTTTACACCATTTAAGAGATAGATCAATTGCGTACTGCATCCTTTCCGATATGATTTTGTGATCAGATCCAATTACAGATATAATCAGATTATCAGCTTAACCATATGTTCGGAAACCCAGATCATTAAATTTTGCCAATAAGCTATCGATAACCAGGGTCCACAATAAGGGCGATAGTACACCTCGTTGAGGACAGCCTCTGGTGGCCCAGATCGTTCTCGATATACCACATAGGTCAAACCCAATGACTCTGGATGTTAGCATTTTCAGCGTCCAGTTTTTAATAACTGCCGGTACTAGTTTTCTGTCTAGCGCCTGGCCAATGGCATTATACGACGTGTAATCAAAAAAATTGAGACGGGCATACTTAAGGAGTATTCGAGTTTATGTTATGAAAATAGATCCCACAAATTCTCTATGGCCGGCGCTATGGGGGCTCAAAGTAAGGTGACTTTGCGCGTTTTTAAGCGCGTGCCATTTTTTGTTTCCATCCGATATCAAAGATTTTTAGTTTTTGATTAGCTAAGATAATTTTTGATCAACAAAAAAAATTCAAGTCAATATCTCAATTAGATTCATATACCCATTTAAATCTAAGTCCTTAAAAACTTTTTACTTTTTTAAAGATTTTTCTTAGTACGCAATTTGCGAAGTGAAAAAAGTGTTGCATAACTTATGGATGAATAAAAACATTTATACTAAAAAAAGTAGATTTTGAAAGAATTTAGATTTAAATGGGTATATTTTTGAATCTAATTGAGACTACAAGACCGGCATAATCAAAAAAAAAAAAAAAAAAAACAGTAGTTGGCGTTGTATGTTTAATAGCATTTGAATATTTTTTATATAACTTTTTAACCAACGGATTTGGAAAATGAAACCAGATTCAGATAGTAAAAGTTAATATGTTTCTTATCTAAATATAAATTAAATTTTTATCGTAAAAATAGATCAAGTCATTCTGGTCGAAAATTAGTAATATGTACTTGTTTGTAATTATTTTCAGATTACAAATGCTTGTAAATTATGTGTGCTACGACAATTTGAGCCTCTGGAAACAATCTACTACGAAGACAAGGGCCAGATGAGTTATGTACATTTTGTCATTAGTGGTGAATGCATGATATTGCAATGTCTCAAAATGGTGGTACATATAATTATGCAAATTAAGTATTTTTTTAAATTTATAGACCATATTTCGAATGTCTCTATGTACAGGTTAGCCAGAAAAATGGAGTTAAAGCTTTCGATCTAACTGACATAGCCAAAGAAGGCTCCAAATCAATATTTCAAGATCTCTCGAACACACAAGTATTACAGATTTTAAAAGATGAAAATGGTTCTGTGAATAGATCTGCTTACGATATTAATGAGATCATTGCATCCGATGACAATGAAACTAATAAGCAATCTGCCAAAAGTCGTGATGTAAGTACATGAGACAAATTATAAACTATTTTAGAAAATAAATAACGGAAAAAGTAAGAAACTATTATATTTCAGGTGTAAATTTGACACTGTATACAAGGATATTATGTCTGTTCATTAACAAATAATTGTTATAAATTATCACAAATTGATTTTGTATTTTAATACAAATTTCAAATATTCTTGTAAAAAATAGTAACAACTTTTAGTTATTGAACAGACATATTGATTGGTTTCTTCACTTATTCTGTTTGGTTTATTACACGGTACAAAATTTATGTTATAAGCCATCAATAACTTTATAAACAAAATTTGAAAAAAGTCGAATCCCAGAGACCAATTATACTGCTTCACCGATTTCGAATCTGAACTCAGAATTTGTCCACCACATCAAGTCTTCGAGATATAAATTTCGAGTCATAAATTTCGAAAAACTCCTTTGACCATATTTGAGATGCTATAACAGCGCGAAGAAACCTTTATTTATCAAATGTGTTATATCATCTAAAATTCCAATGTGTCTACTTTAAAATGAAGGCCTAACCTCTATAATGTATACATTTTTCTTCTACATTTATTAAATTAAAATTAAAATTGGGTTCTTGCAACTCACTCGGCAAAAAAGCTCAGCTTTATAAGTTAAAAGTCACGAGTCCGAAAGTAAATTTTCACATGTCACTTTAAATGTATTTTTTTAGAATATTAGCTTTACAAATCGAACTAAAACATTTTTATTTAAAAGTGGATGTCTATATTTACCCATTACATTACATTTTGAAAAGTTATTATAAAATACCAAAATATTTCTTTGAATCTCTATTTTTTACTAAAATTTCTCAATTTTAAGTTTAAATTTTAAACCCCATACTTCTCCAGGGACGGCGCAATGACGACTTAAACTGGTGCTATTAATCTCTTATATTTTCCATGTTATGATCATTTAAAAATTTTAATTTTATACCAATATCATTTCTGGATTAAAAAATAACCGATTTTTAATTGGAAAAAAATTAAAAGACCTTGACTTACAAAACATTTATTTTGATAGATATCGCACTCGCATTAAATTAAGCGACCAAAAAAATCTTAAAGGAAAAGACCTAAGCTTTCCTTTCAGCAAAAAAATAAAAAGGGTCCATTTTGGGAAAACAGGCTAAAAATAGAATTTTAAAAGTCCCAAAAAATTATTGAAGTAGACATCGATTTCAAAAGCTAGATCACTTGACATGAAATCCCTCACATATGTACATATTTTAGTTTAAACAGATCGATATTAAAAGCATGGAAATAAGATGTGGTTTAGCTGAACCGAGCTATCGAGGATCTGCCGGAAGTCATACACAATTTTCAGAAGTAAATAACAATAAAATTGCTGACAAAATTGAAATTAAAGCGGAACAATCCCGTTGCCGAAATGAGCAAATAGTAGACATCGAAGACTGTGAAAACATAAGTAAGTAAAATATAATATATAATAATATACTTATACTATTCGATTCCCACCAGAGGTACTGGAGCGCACAATAGGCCCGATGGAAGTCAATGTGGATTTCTTCGGTTTTGATTTAACATATATCCCCCTTTCACACTAACTATTTATCTACAAATTTACTTTTTTTTCCATATTAAAGATGGTAAAGCTGACACAAGAAGCAATATTTCTAAAGAAGAAGAAATCGCAAGAAAAGAAGATGTACCTGAAATGCGATCCAGTAAAACTGAATATTTAAATACTTTTTCAAATCAAAAATCTTTCGATAACCAGAGTCAAAGAGAAATTGAAGAAGGATCCAATAGGAATGGCACGAAACGATTTACTTTACAATCATTACGGGATTCAATACGCGAATCTTTGTATGGATCTTCGAGTTCAGCAGAAATTCAGTCACATCAGGTAAAATTAATTTATTTTTATTAAGAGTATTACAGCCCATTCAGACCGAGTCGATATTACTTCATTTTGGCTCAAAATGTTCAGATCGGAGATTTTGACACTAATCTTGATTTTGTTGATTATTGAAATCATTTGTTTGTGATAAATCTATATGAAGGACTTTAGTATGACGTATGTTTTGCAGCCCTCAGTTGAAAAAATCCGAATTTTGGATTATGTCAGTCTTTTATATAAGCTTCATAGAAAAAAATATGTCATCAAAATAATATCATGCAATTTAAGAACCTATCAAAATTGAACAAAAAAATAAACCAGGACAACGAAATAAATGTTTGTAAAAACTTTTGAAAATGTCATTGAATATCTTGTTCAAATATTACATACATTTTATATAATTATAAAAATATATTAACGTCAAAGGGTTAATTTAGTTTTTTTTCGGTTTCATCATTCGTTATATATTTTTCCTAAGTTTCATTTATATATATTTATATACGGTAAAAATTGTAAAATTTTAATTTTCAAATGCGAATATCTCCTAAACTATAAGAGATAATTTACTGCTACGAATACGAATTTTTTTTTAATTCGGAACTCAAATGAAGAAATAGGATCGTTTTAAAAATTTAACATAGCCGAGGTCTGCTAATTTGATGACCCCCCGCCGGGCCCCTGGTTGGCCTATAAAGTCCAAATTCAAAACCTAAACTCGACAACACCTCCTCTTTGTGCATACCAAATTTCATTAAAATCGGATTAACCGTTTAGCAGTTACCGAATTATTTCCCTCTTTTTTTTCCTATACCACTGTGCGTTGGCTTGTGTTATCATTTGATAAGACTTCGATATTTTTATTGATCCGCGCATAATGAGATACACATATTATATACTTTTATTTAATTTTTTTGTTGCTTTTAGCGTCCTACTGGAAAAATTGAAAACCACTTTATTGATGTGGGCTCGCTTACATTTGGAAGTATTTTTGGCCTTGGTGAAAAACTGGAGCACCGTGTTATAATGGCTCGTACAACTGTTCAATGCTTGATGATACCTCGATTTTGGCTTCTTGAAAAAGATCAAAATCCTGGTAATATTTGGCAACGAAGACGATTTTATCTGGATACAACCATTCCATCTAGACAGACGCTATTTAAAGATTTTCTATATACTCGTCAGTGGCAGAAATTTAAAACAAAACTTATTCAAAGTCATTTAAATCCCAACTCAATTGCTAATCCTACTCGTGTCCAAGATATACCAATAATATGTCGTATAGTAGAAGCACGTGACGATTAATTTTACATACATATACATAAATACCTACATATGTACATATAACTCAATAAATATGATTTTTGACCTACACCAACAGTTTGTTATTATTTCCTGGTAATGTTTACATAATACGTATGTATGTATATAGAGGTCATTCACTCAACTCCTCTACTATTATGTTGCTTCCATAGTAACCACATATATCGACCTCTGGAAGTCTCAACAACAAGTGTTTATGTGGAAATATAGAAGTTTTTTAATTTCATAATAAAAGAATTTGTTTTGATTGTTAGTTGTCCTGGGTAACACTTTTTTAGTTTTTTTGTTTTGGATAGAAACTATGGATAGAAAATTGTGCAGACACAAAACCAGTCTGCAAAATTTTTTCATTATTGATCCAACATTCAAAGGAAGCACAAGAAAATATTAAAAAGTCTTAAATTAAAAAATATTTTTTTTTTACATTTAACATAAAATGTCAACTATTACAAAACCTCGAGTACCGGATGGTCTTCGAGAGTTAATGAAAGATCTTACACGGGAAATTCTTAAGGAAAAGCCCACTGATATTTACGATTTCGCAGAAAGCTATTTCCAATCTCGTCTGCCTGAGAAAGAAAATTATGTCGTAAAGAGTTTTGAAGAAAGTTCCGGAAAATATGATTTCTCCTATATACAAAATCCTCAACGTTATCAGATTCCTGTTGCTTTAGTGTACTCCATTATACCCGAAGGCCTTACGAATCTTATAAAAGATCTAATAAAAGCTGTTCTCAGGGAACAGCCAACAAATTTATGCGATTTTGCAGTGGAATATTTTCGTCATATAAAAGCTGCTACATGTAAGGAATCACAAGCTGAGACGAAAGAAATTAATTATTCGGCGTATGAAAAGTATTTTATGAATAAAGAACGTTTCCTCTTTACTCCATATGTAAAATGTACTTGTGGCAGAACTCTCGGGGAAGCATATTCAAACAACAGTCAAATTGAACATTTAATCGCTATTCACAAAATACAGAATAATGATTCAACATTTCTATCGAAGTCCTTAGTGGTCGATGATTCCAAGAACAATAATAATTTGAATAAAATTACTGAAAATGACACAATTTATAACGAAAAGTATATGAATTCCATTTACATAATTCAAAGATATATCCGTCGTTACTTGAAAGGAAAAAAAGACACAACAAAAACTAATCAAGTTTCCCCCAACCACAAAACTTTCGACCATCATTCAGTGACTGCTAAACCAATTATAACGAAACAATACGAACACACTTCTCAGATTCCAATCGTACCTCAACTGCAATTAAATCAAAATGAATCTGAAAATATTTCCGAAGACGCTTCGTATAATTCAGCATCTACAGCTGTACTCTCCGCATCGGAATCGAGCCGTGAAACATCTGAACCGAGTATGTATGAAAAGATTGTTACAAAGACTATAATGGAAGATATAGAAATGGAAAACGATGAAAAAAATATTTCAAGTCAATCTACCAGAAACCATGTACAAGACGATACATCTACCAAGAACAATGAAAAAGAAGGTGTCAGCAATGTTAATGATGCAGATGGAAGCAAAGGTATAAGTAAAATAAATTATAATAATTACGATGTTAAGAACGATAGAAATTTATTTTTTTTAAATTTATAATTTAAAAAAAATGTGAATACGGTGTAATATAGGGACTTGATCTTATAATGGGATATTGATTAGTGTTGTTTTAAACTTGTTTATATCAACGTTCCTTATTTTCTTTTTATTGTTCGACTAGCTAAGGAATTGTAACCGATATTGTGTTCTTACACAAAGGGAAAAATAAATATACACGCTTGGTACCAAATTAACACAAAATTTTTTAATAACATCCATTGTCAAGTATATACGTACATACAACGCAATCTAAACTTTATGCACATCCGTTGTCTAAAAGTTAACAAACGTGGTAAGCTCAAAATGCGTTGTATGACAACGCATAAGGTTTAGATTGCGACAACGAATTGTTGCATTACATTATATGTTGTTGTTGTATGCATGTATATACTTGACAATAGATGTTATTGAAAAATGTTGTGCCAATTTGGTACCAGGCGTGTATATATTTTTTTTCCTTTGTGTAACATTGTGTTGATTACGATTTGTTTTACTTGTATATACAAATTAGATATCGGCATTTACAGGGAAAGGTCCACCACAAATGAAAAAGTAAATAACCTTATGGCTTTCGCATTTTTGAATATGATTTAAAAAAAATATATTGTCCTACATTGTACCCTCGAATATTTGTATTGAAAATGTTTGAAATCGGTCTATTATTTCAATTAGGGCCCATAAACCGGACCCCCAAACAACGATTTAGAGCTCGTAATTTTTTTAATAAACTATTATTTCTAAAAGATCTCAAATTTCAAATTTATATGGCATTAAACAATACTGCCGTTTTTTGTAATCATTTGACCATGGCTCCCATACAAAGTAAATATTCAGAAAATTACTTAGACGTTCTTAATTCACTTATAAACGCTATATACATATGTATGTTTTTACAAAGGAATAACATTAAAATAATGATAGAAAAAAGTTAGTGTTCAAAATGTTGCGTTCGAACATAATTTAAAAATGTATCCGCCCAGTTTTTTGCAATTTTCTTGAAAATGGAAAATTTGCGTTAAACACTTTGGATATACCCATATGGAGTTAAGAAATTCTAAAAAGTTGTTTGAATTACATGTAAACAAAGTAAAATTTTAAACTCTTTTTACAAAAGTTTTTTTATCAATTTCCATCAAAGCTATGAGCCATATTATTTTCCACATAAGTACCTAAATATCGTCCAGTCGAATCCGTCCAGTAGTTTTGGCATGATTGCTAAAAATTTTATAAACGGACGAAAACAAAACTTTATAAAGACACTTTTCGCGACTGATAGACTAGTTCTTAAGTTTATCGATTAGATACAACTATGTATGCAGATAAACTACGATAACATAAGTTGAATATATTTTTGTATTTTCGAGAATTTAAATGGACTACACACAATCAATAGAGGGAATTTCAATTATATCACTCTTCTTATATTTATTTATTAATGTAATAATTTCAGATTCCGCTAAATCGTTGGATTATATTATGGACTCCCGAAATGAAGAATTTGATTCTAAGGAAATAGAAACTATGAAAAATCTTAACGAATCTGGTGAAGCAAATGAACAGCCAGTGGAAGATATAGATATTAAAGGTAAAACAAATGTGGAAAGCAAAACTGATATTGAAGCAATAAATGCCGCAGTGTCCTCTATTGAGACTGTGAATGTAAATTTAACACAACCTGAAATATTTAATATAAACATTGAAAAAACTAATGAAAAAACATCAGATATCGGTGAATTGCACAAAATATCTGTAGATGTTCATGATGCTGATATTAAGAGCCATGATAATGATCTAAAGAAGGATAAATCTTTTTCAGAGCATGAACTAATTGCTGAAAATAAAATAACAGAACACGACAACAACTCCAATGAGTCCACTGAGGCGGATGACAAGGAATTTAGTAAAGAAGTAGATCAAGCAGACTTAACAGGCAGCTTTGGTAATAATAATTTGGAAACAGTTGATAAATATCCAATGCTCGAAAAAACGAAAATAAGTAAAGATGAGCAAAGCCAAAATCTAGATAAACAGAAAGATAAAGTAAATACTAAATCTGAGTTATTAGAAGAAATTCCTCGAAACGAAATAGATGAAGTTTCCATACGGCAGTCGGCTGACGATTTCAATGAACACAATTCTCACGCTAAAACAGAATCAAAAACCAATGATGGAAAAAATATTAATGAAGTAAAAAATGAAAAAAATAATAATAAAGCTGAATTATTAGAAAGTATTAAAGAAAAAACATCGGATGATAATAAATCTGATATAGAAACAAATGAAGAAGATAATGATGCAGAGAAATTATCAAAAGACTCAGATAACAACGTTAAAAAAGAAGATGTTGATGATTCATTTAATAAAAAATTAAGTGATTTTGATCGACCAACTAATGTTAAGGAAGAAATGCCTACTCAATTAGATACAAATAATTCGGCAAGTACAATTATTGCTTCAAACCCAAAATTCGAAGGCGACATAATGTTAGGAGAAACTAAGGAAGCAGATCTCGGGAATCTCGCCGACCAAATGTTGAAGAGTAAGAATGATTTCGTAGAAAAAGCTCTTGATATGAAATTAGATAAATCTATATTGATTCAACCTAAAAATAATGATGATGGAAAAACTTCTGAATCGACAAAAAATGATGATGAAATTAAATTGGAAAACGAAAAATTTAAAATAGACGGAACAACAATAACACATAAAATTGATGAGATAATAACTGAGTCCGAATTTGACAAAAATGTTAATAACACAAACAAATTAGGAGATGTTGCCTCGAATAAACAGGAGACATCTAGAGCAACTGCTGAATATGAATTAAATAAAAATTCGGATTTAACTGATCAAACTCCACTACAACAAAAAACTGATACAAGTATTGTTGTGAGAGAAAAGTCGCCAACTAAATCTAGTGATTCAAATGACAAGAATTTAATTGAAAAATCTGAAATTATCTTAGATAAAGGTAACTCCCCTATTATGTTAGATAAAGAAATGGATTTAAAACATGACAAAAAGTCAGATGACACAATCGAACTAAATGAACTGGGTAATAAACCTATATTAATTCAACAAAAAAATAATGATGAAGGGAAAACTTCCGAATTAACAAAAACAGATTTTGAAAATGAATCAGAAAATGAAAAGTTTGATACAGACGAAACAACAATGACAAATAAAACTGATAAGATAATAACTGAGTCCGAATTTGATAAAAATGTTAATAATGAAAACAAATCAGAAGATGTTGCCTCTAATAATCAGGAGACATCCAGAGCAACAGCTGAAGATGAATTAAATAAAAATTCGGATTTAACTGACCAAAATTCACTACAAGAAAAAAATACTACTAATACAAATATCGCAGTGAGAGAAAAGTCTCCAACGGAATCTAACGATACTAATGAAACCGACAATAATTTAATTGGAAAATCTGAAATTGTCTCAAATATGTTAGATAAAGAAATCGATTTAACTCATGACAAAATATCAGATGACAAATTTAAAATAAAATACGATATTAATAAAAATCTTAATAAAACCTCTGAGGAAATAGAAAAAGAAATTAATGATGGAAAGAAAATTGATGTGGAAAAACAAGATAGGAATATTGAAGAATCTCAACGGAACGAACTTGCCGATAGCACGAATAAAAATATTTCAGTAGATACAGATGACAAAGTTCTATCTGAAACAAAAATGGATGAAAAGTATAGTAACCAAGGAGAAAATGACCAAACTGAACTTAAAATGCAAGATAGCAATACCCAGAATTTAATGAACTATAATATAAACTTGAATACAAAATCTGAACAAAGTATTGTAGATACAGTTGAAAAACGCGCTAAGAATGAACTGGATAATGATTTAAAAAGAGTTTTCAAATCAAAGTCAGATGAAATAATGAATAATTCTGATGAAATCGGAAGCAAAGCAAATGTTAACATGAATAAATATAACAGAACAAGTCATACATCAGATGAAGCAAATTACAACGATAACAAAGTTGACATTTCAAGCAATCTAGATAATAATGGATTAAACACTGTTGAAGAGAAATCTCTAATTGAATCCAAAATTAAAGACGAAATAACTGATATAAATAATCGGGGCAATGTAAAAGAAAATATCACTTTAGTCGAGAAAAACACAAATACAGATGACATGAAATTCAACAAGGAGTTTATTCAAACTGAAATTGAAACTAAAGTTGTTCCGGACGAGTTAAATGAAATACTGGAAAACGATAAGAATCCAAAGAAACACGAAGTTGATAAAATAATTGAAAGCTCTATAGAAGTAGATAATAATAAAAAAGTGGCTACAAGTGTTCAAGAACCTACTAAAGTTGATTTAAATGAAAAAACTAAAGAATCCCTTAACATGCATATGGAAAAAGAGTGTGATAATAATATGGGTGTTAAAGAAACAGAAATTGAAAATAGTGGATATAATAAAAATCTAGAATGCAGTTTTAAAATGGATTTGGATAATAATACTACTTCGAAGAATGAAAATATTACTTTGACTTCAGAAAATTTAACTCAGGAACAGCAATCTGAATCGAATATAGCAAATGCTGCAATTGAACCTACAAATCAGAAAGAAACTAAGATAATTGAAAATAAAAAAAATATTCAAACAGATGTCGAATCTAGTAGAAATGACAATGACATTAAAACTGAAAAATATGTGACTACAGATGATCAAGAGCCTACCCACGTTGATTTAAATGAAAAAACTATTGAATCTCTTAACATGAATATAGAAAAAGATTCTGTATCTGTTAAAGATACAGAAATTGACAATAGTGAATATGGTAAAAATCTAGAAGGCAGTTTTAAAACATCTTTGGATAAAAATACTTCTTCGATTGAGGAAAATATTAATTTGACTTCAGAAAACTTAACTCAAAAACATCAGTCTGAATCAAATTTAACAAATACCGCAATTGAACCTGAGATAATTCAAAAAGAATATATCCAAACAGAAATTGAATCTCACAGAAATGACAATGATTTTAAAACTGAAGAACATGTGACTGCAAATGTTCAAGAACCCAATCAAGTTGATTTAAATGAAAAAACGAATGAATCTCTTAACATGAATATAGAAAAAGAATCTGATAATAATGTGGGTGATATAGAGACAGAAATTGACAACAGTGGATATGATAAAATAGCTTTGGATAAAAATACTACTTCGATGGTTGAAAATATAAATATGACTTCAGAAAATTTAACTCAAAAACAGCAATCTGAATCTAATTTAACAAATGCTGCATTAGAACCTACAAATCAGGAGGAAATTAATATACTTCAAAAAGAAAATATACAAACAGAAGTCAAATCTCGTAAAAATGACACTGATATTAAAACTGAAGAAGATGATGTTAATAAAACAAACGTTATCTATGAAAATAGCAAGGATATTCCTGCTATAAAAACTAATTCTGAATTACTAATGGAACCATCTGATGAAAACTTACTTGAATACAAAAATAGTTCGACAAACTATATTTCTAGCGACTTGCAAAATAAAAATGTAGATACAAAACCGGAACTACAATTTAGATCAAATGATGATGAGTTCGAATCACGAGTACAAAATGAACTAAATACACATCTGCCTAAGACTTCACAAACCGAGCAAAATGAAACTAATTATAAAGAAAATATTGATCAAAATGCCAATTACAATTTAGATGAAAGTACTGCCAAGACAAATTTAAAAGATGAACTTTCTAAAAAATTCACAGAAAACAAAAATGAAACTGCTACCAGTGATGCCTCTGAAGTATCCAAAGAAATTTCTCCAAGTAAATTAGAAGATAAGAGAGATAATAAATTTGAGTCAGATCTTAAAATTGACCACACTTTAAATAAAACTGAAAAATTAACAGCTATAAGTAATTCAAATTTATTAAAAGAATCTTCCCAAACGAAGTCGGACGAAATTTGTAATGAATCTTGTGTTGAAATTATTAAGAAATCAGAAACTGATGATATCGTCAACACAACTAATGCAAATAATAAGGATAAGTTTTCATCAGTTATGCAAGAGACCAAGTTAGATTCATTTGATGCTAATTCTATCAACATAAGCAATAATAAAGATGAAACAACCAATAATGAAAACGTGAAAACAATCTTAAAAGATTCCTCTATAAATGATAGTAATATGACTGACGAGTTGATTGATAAAACTTTCACTTTGAAATCTTCTGGATCAATAGATAATGAAGAGGTTAACAGGAATCTAGTGGAAACATTGCAAACTGAGTTGGATAAAAATAAGACTAATGTTAATGTTGATAATACCATAGCTGATGCACATGTAACAGAGGAGATTATCACCAAAAACTGTGCACAAGAAACTCAAGCAGAAAAACATTTAAATGAAGGTAAAGAAACAACAACTAATATAAGAAATATTGAACCTAGTGAAAATGATATAGATGTTGGTACCGATAAACAAACCACAGATCCAGATGATATAACAAGCTCTGAGATCTCAAGCAAACAGCTAGTCGACAGTTCCGAAAAATCAATTAATAGAGCTAAACAACCAACAAAAGATGCATCTTCCATTTCGGAAAATGAAAATTACATTAAAAGTGAGACAGTTATCAGTGATACTAATGAACACTGTGACAATATTACGACTGAAAACCAGGAGTCGGTCTCGACTTCAAATAAACATCAGAATACAAATCTGTCTGAAGCTATTATTGAGAAATGCGATACTAAGCATCCTGTAAGCGAGCTATATGGAACTGACACAGGCGCTTCTACCAATTCATTATCAATTGAGAATGAACAAAGCCAACCATTTGAAATACAATCAGACATATCAAAGCAAGAAAAAAGCATTAATGATGATTATGAGCAGAAGGAGATCAAGTCGAATTCGTTTACAAAACGTGCAGATGAAAGACGTAATACAACAAACGAATCAAATTCTGGCGAAGATCAGGAGTTAATTGTGGAAAACAAAACTAAATCGCAAGAACAGCAATTAGGAAATTTAGATGTAGCATACTCTGATTCAATAGAAGCAAATGATGGAAATATTGGAACAACCAATTCTGCAGGTCATGAACAAAATAATCAAGCAAACTCAGATGTAATAAAAGCAAATTATAAAGATATGGATACCATAAACTCTTCAGATGATACCGCAGGAATTGTAACAGATGATCGAATAAATAATACATTACAACTGAAGAATGATTCTAATACGTCCTTTTCTAATGATATTATCGAACATGAAACTGAAACAAAACAGATCCAAGAGCCACAAGAAAGTGAACCTGAAATTGAAACTAATAAGAGTTCTTTAGAGTTTTCAAATAATAAGCTGCATTTAGAGGACAAGCCTTTAAAAGACTTAAACGAGGTTAATCAAGATATTCAAACCATTTCCAAATACCAAGAATCTTCTGAAGGGCACGAAAAGAAATCTTCAATAACACTTGATACAAATATTGCTCAAAACGATGAAGAAAAAACTAACTTTGACATAAAAACTAGAAACTCTATACAGATTGAACAAGACTTAAATGATGATCAAGGCGTTAGAGACAACCATAAAGAAGAAAATAATCAAAATACAGAAATAAATATGGATGATTCAAATTCTGAGTTAATAGCAGAAAAGAGTTCCAATCTAGAAGACAATGTTATAAAAACTAATTCTAATAATGAAAATATTCATGATGATAAGGAAATCTCAAAAATTTCCTTAAAGTCAGAAGAAATTGAAACTCATAATGACGAAGACTTCAATTCACAATCGAGAAATAAACGTGAGGTTGAAAATGACCAAAATAGTGAACATAAAGACAGCAATGAACTGAGCGATACCAAACAAATTATTACAATCCACGATGATGATGAGTTAAAGCAAATGAGCGGAGAAAATCCAGTATTAAGATTGACTGATGAAAATGTTATAGGTGAAAACGTACATTCAAATAAAGGAGAGACAATACAACAAGATTCCATTGAAAATATATCAGATTCTAGTGAAGTAAAAACCCCTCTAAATGTTTTGGAAATTGAAACTCCTTCAGAACAAGACAGTGTTTCAACAGATTATATTAAAACCTCATCTGTAAATGTCAACGACCAAGAAATCAATTCTCAAACAATATTTTCAGACAATAAATCCTTAGATTTAAACATGAATAAACTTCAGAGTTCAGTTAGTGATACTGAAGTATCTAGTCTAGATGTTCATCAACAACAGTCCACACTTGAAAATGAACAAAATCCTGAAAATGAGGTTAATGCAGAAAATCAGAAACATACAGGGGCTTCTTCAAGTTTTCCCCTCGAAAAAGAATCAATTTACAAGGAAAATCCTTCCAATCTTATAAAATCTTCATCATCTAATAAATTAGAAGATAATCAACCTAATAAAATCGAAAAAGAAAATGTTGATCCATCTACAGTGAAACACATTGAAAAGATTGAAAGTACAAGTAATGAAATTTCGAATATCCAACAAGATGTCACTCTAGATGGTACATCCAAAGATAATACTTTAGAGAACAATAGTAATTATGAACTGCTTTCAACAGAGGAAATTCAGGAACATCAGGAAAACGAATCGAATAATAAAATCGAAGCAAAAACAAGTAATCTCAATTCAAGTATAGACCAAACATTTCATGGTGACCAAAAAGACAAATTACATACTGAAAACATTAATGAAAATGAGACTGTACATCAGTATAAGGTCGATAGAGGTATGTCCATAATATTTTAGTATATTATTGTAGAATTATTTTATATTTTTTTATAGAAAATATCATAGAAGGAACACAGGCAGATGCAAAGGATATTAAAACCGCAAATGTCAATGAATCGAGTCAAGAAGATTTCAAGCAAGGTTAGTAGTCGATTAAAAAATTAATTATCTATTCTTACACAGAAAAAAGTTTCAGCATAAATATTATGAACTGCTTTCATTGATAAAAGTTAATAATATTTAAGAATAAGTTCCTAAATTGTATGAATTTTTTCATTTTTATATTTTTAAACATAATCTAGAAGCCTTGACTTAAAATATTAAAAATTTTCTTTATATTTTTCTGTTTGTTAAAAAATGTTTGAAATTTTCTTTAGAAAATTTTTTATTTCTTTATTATTTTTAGATTGAAAACGATGAAATATGCGCGTAACATGCAACATTTTCTGAAGAATGGATGTTTAGCTATATGTTGGTTTTTTTATTTCATATTTTGTTTTCCAGCATTTTTATTTATTTATCATAAAAATTCGCTAATATGTGATTATTTTCTAAAAAATGGAATATATTAATAGGTAACGGTTATTTATTTATTGCATTTTTGATGAAAATCAAAGAAAATGAACAAAAAAACAAAAAAATCTTTCATGTACAAATTCATACATTTTATGAACTTTTAATATTCTGAATGAAAATGGTTTGGGAAAAAAAGTCATGTTCGATTCATTCAATTTATTTCAAAATTCATTCCAAATATGAATTATTTTTTTCTGTGTACAAAGTAATAATTAATTATACACATTATTAATGTAAAACTATACACCATATACAATGGTAGACATTCGATTGTATACATCATACTTTTTGAACTTTTTTAAGAAAGTAAACAGTGTTTAAGTAATGTATTATGTCAATTTTTAAAGCACTTGAATAAGAATTTCCAAAGGTCATAAATCAGAAAAATGACTGTTTCGCGAAGATACTGCGAAAATACTGTTTCGCGAAGATTCTAAAAAAGGTTTAAATCTATGTCGAAAAATCAATCCAAACCCTGATCAAATATCAATCATTACTGTTCAGAACGTATTAAGAAAATTTGGAATTTTTCGTCGTAATTATATTCTTAATATTGACGTTTTGACCAAATGTTATCCAATTTAATTTCGACAAATGCCATCCTTCTTTCAACATTTTATATTGATTTTGTCATTCCGTGTGTAACACATCGAAATATTGTTCATAGACCCCATAAAGTATATATATTCTGGGACCTCGTAAGATCCTAAGACGATTTAACTATGTTTGTCTGTCTGTTGTTGGCACGATTGCGTCCACAAAAAAGAGATAGGGAGATGAAATTTTCCTAAATTCTTCTTCATTGATCAGAAATATTTGGTTTTGAAAATGGGCAAAATAGATCAACGATTTCACATAGGCCCCATACAAATGTACCCCCGGAATACTGTGTAAAAAGCTTCACAATGCACAGTGGGGTCTCCCTGAACAAAACTTGGCATTAACTAAGCTACAATGTTTTGGTATCAATCATGGGCATCGATGGATAGGGGAAGTCTCTAGATACGGAGTAAAAATAGAAAAAGTTTCACTTAATGCAATTTTTTTGCACAATTTTCAAAACAAAATTTTAAAAAATTTAAATTTTTTGGTAGTATATTTGGTATAGAAAAAGAAAATTTTTAGAAATTTTATATTAAATGATATTTTCGTACAAAAAAGTTATGGCATTAAATAATAAAAAATCGAAAAAATATACATAAAAACATAAACTTTGTTGCATCATCTAAAGGCCTATACAATAAAAATGGAAAAACTTATGATAGCGTTATATTGAAAAAAGTCTTAGATTTCCAGGCATATTAAGTTTTTATCAAAAAACTCATTTCTAAATATTTACTTTATGCCAAGTTCACTTAAAGGAGACTCCAATGTGCAATGCGAGAAAATTTCGCATAAGTAAAATTTTGGTCCCCAGAAATTAAATTCTGTATTATGGCGGACATAGCACCATATAAGGTCCCCTGTAGAAATGACTATAACGGTAATTACCGGCTTCAAAATAACTAATATGGCGACAAAATTCGACATAAACAATTTCTGTATGACCCCAAATATCTCTACGAAGTTTTGTGGGGATCCATATTTGACCCCACCCGCCAAATAAGGTCCCCATCAGTAAATTCCTTTAACGCTCATTACTGGCTTAAAAATACGAGTACTACGATGAAATTCGATATATATATATATATATATATATATATATATATATATATATATATATATATATATATATATGATTTGTATGAACCAAAATCGTTTTACAATATTTTAAGATGATCGATCCTACTCCCCATATAAGGCCCCTGCGGAAAATTACTTAAACGCTCATTACTGGTAAAAAAAATACAAGTACCGTAATGAAATTCGACATAAACTAGTTTTATATAAGATAAAATCTCTCTACCTAATTTTATGAGGATTGCTCCATAATTAACCTTAACCCCGTATAAGGTCCCTTTAAGAAAATTATTTTAACACTCATTACTGGCGTGTAGACCTATGAAATTTGACATAAAAAAAGAAAATGAATTCTTCCTACCAACTTTGAATTTGTCCATACATAACCCTACTCCTCATATAAGGTAATCTTCAACTACAAGTACAATTACTTTAACTCTCATAAATTACTTAAAAATTTAGGGTGATCGACTCGATTTTTCAACCGGTTTTTCTGCTTTACCAGAGTCGGTTTTTTCTAAATGTTGAGTTTTCGAATATCGAATAACTCGGTTTTTCGAATAATCGATTTTTTGAGTTGGGTCACTTGATACGAGATCGTGATTCTGTTAAATTGGTTTTAGAATACATAAAGCGGTACCTCTGTCATCAAGAACCTATATATTTGTTGTCAAAAACTAAAGTTCAAAATATCTATAAAAATTTACTTATATACGATAAAAGAAAAATTAGTATTAACAAATAAATTTCACAAGGAAATATTTTTTGGTGCATGTTTTCCACATTTTTAGTGCATATTTTCCCATTTTATAGTGCATTTTATAAGCGCATATTTAAATTATTTAGTGCATGAAAATCCTTGCCTTGGATATAATCTTTTAAAATGTTAAAAATCAGTTTGGGCGATGTTTTATTAATCAAATTTAAACATAAACGTTATTGTTTTCAAATTAAAATAGATTTTGTTATTTATAATGAAATCCCGGTTAACTGGTTTTTTCTGTATTTGAAAAATGTCAACTACTCGAACTATTCGAAAACCGGTTTTTGGAAAATGTCGAATAATCGATCACCCTATTAAAAATATGATAAAATTCAAAATAAATAACTGTTGTAAAGACAGATTAGGATAGGTCCATAATTAAGACTACCACGCATATAATTACTCTTACAAAAAACCAGTATATGGTTATAAAAATTGGACAAAAACGATTTGATTTTAAAAGTTAAACCTTTATTAATGGACCTCTTTTAAATATTATAATATGATAATAAAATATACATAAATATAAAAGTTTATGATTTGATGGTGAGTATATAAGATTCCGAATATAACATATATAATTCGTATGTGAAAGTAATATTTAGATAACTAAATGTATTTTAACATCAAATGTATTTATTAGCTAACAACAGGTGTAAGATACTTAAATACACTCCTTGTCTCCAAATAAGTTTTTAGGGAATTACGTAGTTTGATTTCCGAATAGATGCATTGCATATCATTACTTAAAATTAACAATTATAATAATAATTCCAATTAAAACTTTCAGAAAATACTGTACAGAGAAATACTAATGTCACCGCTGAAACTACAAATAATGAAGTATATTTCGGTAAGATATTTATAAATTGAACATTTTTAAACAGTCACATTCTTATTTGGCTAGGAAACTACACAAAATATTGGCATCCAAACTTCAGAAACTTTTATTGGCAATCAAAATTTAACAATTGGTAGAATTAGAAATTTTAACGAAGGTCTCCTTGGAAGTATTTCTGGTCAACGTTTTGCTGAAACGCATTTGAAATCATTTTGGAAGGAATATGTAATGAATAATAGTATGCCCCTAAGTCAATATGATTATAAAGAAAACGAACCGAAAGAGCAACCAGCAGCTGGAACAAGTCGACAACAAAATATGAATCAAGTAAATGAAACAAACTTATCAGCTAATAAAAGTGAAGAGCAAACCATTGATATTATTGAACCCGAAATTATTAAAGAAACCATTAAACAATCTGAATCATCACCTGTTAAGAATGAAAATATTTCTACAGCAAATAATGATTCAACTCCATCTAAAGATATTGAACGTATTCCAAGATATTTTTATGGTGTACCTGACACAGAACCAAGTCATAGTTCAAGTTGTTCAAAACGCAAGTCCTATAAAGAACCAACTGCTTTTACAATCGCGATAGGCGATTTAAACAAAAAACATAACACGAAGATAGCCAAAACAGTGGAGGGGCTATCGCCTAAATCTAATAAAGACGTAGAATGCCAAAAAAGCGATATTAAACACAATTTAACAAAATTTGACTTGTCTGACAAGGTATATGCAGAACCACTTTTGGAATCCGAAACTCCGCCAAAGGTATTTCAAGATTTGAATGAATTTGAATATGAGATTCATGATATTGACTTGGATATCACCTATACTATTGACGAAATCATACGTCTGAAAATCGAAAACGATTCACAAAATAATTCCGATGACAATGATGCAAATGAAACTAGTGAATATTCTTTAACCCCTGAACCAATGTTACAAACAATTGTTGAACTTAGTGAATCGGAAACACCAAAACCTCCGGATCAATTGCATTCAATTGATGATGATTTTCTAGCCAATTTGGAAAGAATCAGCGATACTACGAGTACAAGTTGGACAACTGGCTCCAAAGAAGACAATTCTTTTATTTCAGATGAATTTCTAGATGAAAAAAGCCAAAGCGAATATATAAAGCAAGTGCACACAACATCAGATAGCAAACATAAAACACAGGGCGGTATTTACGAATTTTCCAAAGATGATATGGCTGGCAAGGTATTGAAATCACAAGATTATGAAGAAATTATAGCACAAGCACCTACTCCCCCAAACGATGATCCCTTTTATGAAGATTTAAAAGAAACAGCTGCTAAAACAATTCAAGAAGCTTACCGCCAATTTAAACAGAAAAACATGTTAAAACCTGTCGAAAATATTAGTAAACTTAAAGGAGAAACTGAAATTTCTAACAATGGATCCAATACAGAAAAGCTAAATAATAAAAATGACGAGAATTTAACATCTTTTGAGGACGATGAATCCAAAGAAAAAGATGTAAAAGCAACAAATTCTGAACAAGAATTTGAAAACACCGAAAATTTAACATGTCATGATGATATTAATAATTTTGAATGCAAACAATTGGAAAAATACATTAATAACACAACAATTTCAAATCTTAATGAAGACGATAAAAATGATTCAAATAAATCTACAGAAATTGATATAGCATCTGCTACCAAAAAATCTATGAAAGGATTGAATGGTGAAGTGTTCCCTAATAATTCTAACACAGAAAGTTCAAAAAATACTAAAGATATTACTACTATAGATCTTGAATTCGATGAAAATGATAAAAGTCAGAAACTTGTTAAAAATGAAACTTCCACAGAAAACCTAACAGAAGTATTTAGCAATAAAGTGGCTACCAGTAGTAGAGATAGGCCAAGTTCAAATAATATTGGAGATAGTAATATCGATAAAGATCTGGCAATCAATGAATATGATGTCAACGATGTAAATTCAAATAATTTGGCAAATCAAACTATGAAAATTGATCCTAAATCACCTGTAGAGGTTTTAGGATATAGTAATATCGATAAAGACGTGGCAATCAATGAATATGATGTCAACGATGTAAATTCAAACGATTTGACAAATCAAACTATGAAAATTGATCTAAAATCGCCTGTAGAAGAATACGTGAAAGAACTCAATAGTGAAAATGCCATCTCTAATACAAACATAGAAAGTTCAAATAATATTAAGGATACAAATATTAATGTCACTAATAGAGATCCGACAATCAGTGAAGATAATGAAAGTCAGAATCTTGGTGGAAATGAATCTATAAAGAACTTTAATGTTACTTCTACAGAAAACCTTAAAGAAAATCTTTACAGTGAAGTGTCCAGTGCAGACAAAAAAAATACTAATAATATTATTGATGTGAATAAAGATGTTTCTGATAAAGATCTGCTAAATTCTATGACAAATCAGCCTATAGAAACTAATATAGAATCTCTAGCAGATAAACACAAGGAAGAATTCAGTACTGAAGTGGCCGGCAATTTTGTACTCAAGGAAACTTCAAACAATAATATTAAGGATACAAATAGTAATATCACTAATACAGATCCGACAATCAGTAAATATAACGAAAGTCAGAATCTTGGAGTAAATGAATCTATAAAGAATTTTAATGTTACTTCTACAGAAAACCTCAAAGAAAATCTTTACAGTGAAGTGTCCAGTGCAGATAAAAAAAGTACAAATAATATTATTGATGTGAATAATGATAATCTGTTAAATGCTATGACAAATCAGACTATAGAAACTAATAAAGAATCTCTAGCAGATAAACTCAAGGAAGAATTCAGTACCGACGCGGCCGGCAGTCTTGTACTCAAAGAATCTTCAAACAATAAAGATGCAAATATCGATATTACTAATAAAGATTTGACATTCAGTATAAATGATAAGAGTGATATAAATTCAAATGATTTCATAAACCAAACTAAAGAAATGGATATAAAATCGTCAGCAGAAAAATTCAAGGAAATTGCCACTAGCGGATCAAATAGAGAAAGTTCAAATAATATTAATGATACAATAATAGATGTTACTACTGAAGATCTAACATTTAAGGAATATGATAAAAACGATATAAAATTAAATCAATCAACAAATCAAACAAAACAAATTGAATCAAGTAAATCAGAGAATATGAGAGCAGATTCTACTAACGATGCTAAATTAATTTCACACAATAGTGAAAATAAAGCAAGTGAAATGCCTAATTCCAGTAATATTTCCAAAGATAATGAAATCACTAAATATAGTTGCAATAACAAAGATGGAACTAGTTTTGTTAATAATAATGACTTGAAAGAATTATTAACAGAGTGTGATAAAACTGTACATGATGATCTTCATTCTGATCATATTTATTTTGAACCAACAGCTCCCGCAGAAGAAGATATTCAATCAGTAGTGTCCATAGACTCTCTGCAATCAAATGAAATTCTGCAAGACCAAGCAGCAAGAAAAATACAAAATGCTGTCAAGAATTTTATTGAACGAAAATCTAAATTAAGTTCAAACTTAGGAACACCTAAAGAATCATTAAAATCTAATTGGTTTCTTGGTGATGAACCAATTATAGCAAACGAATCATTGCCTAAAACAACATCAGAAATTTCTTTTGAAGAGACCGAAACTTATGTGGAATTAACTACAAATCCACCACAATATTTAGTTGACTCAAGTAGTAATTTGGAAGCCATTGCAAACAACTTTAGTAGAAGCCCAACAGCACCAGTAACTAATCGTAGTAGAAATAGTGTAGACTTGGCATATGATCAATCAGATAATGTTTCTAAAGATACAGTTTCAGTAATAGGAAAAGATGCTGGAGTAATTGAGAATACAAATACAGAGCATAGCCAAGTAAATGCAAATAATTCAACATACAGGATTTCATCAGAGGGTATGTAATATAATATACATATTTCTATATCTTTCTAGATAACAGTATTTATTTCTTCCCTCCATCTAGATAAAGTTGATGAAAAGCAAGCCATTAAGTGTCCGAATCTTATAGATCAATTTCTCAACTCTGAACGTCATTACTCTGAAGCAGTTAATCATCACAATAAAGATACTATATTTGCATCTCCAGACATTACGGAAATGACAAAAATCCTCTCGAACTTTACAGATTCACAAAAGGAACAATATGATTCTGTAATCCCATATGAACGACTTGAAGAACCATGCATTAAAAAGTCGGCTCGTATTATAGGCGATGACGTAAAAGATGCCGTAATAATTGCAGATACAGCTATTAACACAGATAACTCTTCTTCGTCGGATATTGATGACACTGAAGATAGTTTAAGTACAAAAACTGTTAAACTACATAAACCAGATGCGGCAATTACAAAAATGCAACAACGCAGAGATTCTACTACGAAAATATCAAACTTGGATAAACCTAAAGACTACAATTTTGATGAACCTTCTGTTGTACCCATTGATAATTTAGACACAGACGAAGAAGGTATCGTGGTCAATAAGTTACAACGAGAAGAAACTCGCGAAAGCTCAGCGCAAAGCGACTTTGATGTAATAATCGGTGGTGACAAAGATGACAACTTTAGCTTTCTAGATAGCATTAATATCGATGAAACTTTTCCATCTAAAGGTTCACTCAAGCGGGTACATACAATAGCCGGTGAAGGCGATTCAAAATCTCTTTTGAAAAATGTCACAATTGATGAATCTATCAAATATATAGAACCACCGGATTATGAACTCAATAGCGGCAGCTTATGCTTAGACGATGATACAGCAGAAAATATTCGTCGTAAAATGTTGGCCTACTCGTTCTCGGAGGCTGATTCTGATTGTGTTGACAAATCCCCCAATACTAACGATGGCAATAACTTTGAGTCGAAATCTCAAAAATATGATGACTTTAACGTTAGCACTGCTCTAGTTGAGAATATTGACAGTTCTACTGAAACTGAATCCACCATAGTGTCAGCAGTTACCAAAATTCAAGCTGGTGCCAGAGGTTATCTAACGCGAAAACGTCTGGGAAAAGCTAGCATGGCCAGTGATGGAAAATCAATAGCACATGATGACATAAACAAGGCGTCATTTGGAAACGCAGCAATTAGTGAATCCTTGGAATATTTAGTGCAAGAAGCAGCAGCTAAAAGAATTCAAAAAGTCTTCAGACAACACTATAGAAAAAAACTAGCAGAAGTTAATCAAAAAGAGGATGATAGTTTCTCCCCAGAATTTACTACAAGCTTAGAAAGCACTTTAGCTCAAAAAAGATCTATAATGTTACAGAGAGGTGATGCTCTTCGGAACGATTCTACGCCAGATGAAGGCAATAGCAGTAGCAATGGAAGTGGCAGCGAAAATGGCAAACTTAATGCAAAAATCGATAGTAAATCACAAAACAAAAATCTCTTTGTCAATGATGAAACTAATAACTTTGATAAGCAGCATTTAGAGAAAAATACTGGCGGCAATGATACTTTAAAAGCGACTTCAACAGGTAAGGCTTATAACGACTGTAATGTACACACATGTTAGTCTGTTTAAATTACTTTACCATCCCAGCAAAAAATCTTATACACAGATAATTTCTAAAACTATTCATTACAATTGACCCGTCATTTCGAAAAGGGCAAACTTCCCATGAAGAACAAAAATATTTTCTGCTGTTATAAAATTTGTTTTCCGATATTTTCAATGTCTTTTTGGTAATAATTGGATATCTTCTATATAAAATATATTAAACAAAAAATTTTATTCCATTTTTTGTGTAGAATATTTTTATTCACATTACTTTTATATAAAAAAGTGAGAAATCAATGTAATTTTTTACAAAAATAATAGTTATTTCTTGATTTTTATTTCTTTATCAGAATTAGAATTAATTTTTGCAATAATAGTAGTAGAAGTCAAAAGCATACTTTAAGGCGCCGCACTGTGGTATAGGAAAAAAAAAAGAGGGAAATAATTTAAAGAAATTTAGTATGCACAAAGAGGAGGTGTTGTCGAGTTTAGGTTTTGAATTTGGACCTTATAGGCCAACCAGGGGCCCGGCGGGGGGTCCTCAAATTAGGACACCTCGGCTATGTTAAATTTTTAAAACGATCCTATTTCTTCATTTGAGTTCCGATTTAAAAAAAATTTCGTATATAGAATCTCCTCAATGTCGTAAATTATCTCTTATAGTTTAGGAGATATTCGCATTTGAAAATTAAAATTTTAAAATTTTTACCGTCCTTACTTTAGTTTTTTTGATAATAGCGGGTCCAAATATTCCCGATTTTCGCCATTTTTTTTTATTCGCTTAACAACAAGTTTATATATCAAGCAGTGAAAGAATTATGTAAAAATCATGACTGAGTCCAAAGTTATAGGCATTTTAATTTAAAAAATAAAAAAACGGCGATTTTTTGTCATTTTTTTGGGAAAAAAGTATCTTTTTCTTTTTAAGTTCATTCGGAATGATGAATCTTCTAAACAATATAAGGATTAAAAAGCTAAATTAAATAAAAACGAATCACAAATCATTAGAGTTTACAATGCCCACATGGACGATGTATTATATTCGACAATGCTGAATCTCATGTACAGCGAAGCACTGTTGCCAGATTTGACAATTTATCGTCATTTTGACGATTTTCACTGTCAAACATGGCCTGTTGACGATTTGACGATTTTAACTCTAAATTTGACGATTTTTTAAAATAGGATTTTTGTACTAATTTTAATACATTTTATCATTTTTCTGCCTATAATTTTTAAGAATGTCGATGTATTTAGAATGTTTTAGATAATGTCCATTGATCGAATGATTTACGTAATAACGAACTCAAAAATGTTTGAGAATTTCTCTTTTTTTCGGCCAGCACTTATGGGTTATTGGATCTAGAATAATTGGTAGTGGGAAGAAGGATAGAGGAAGTAGTTTTTTTGGACATTTGATTTAAAGGAGGAAATTTCTTTGCATACGAATAATTAAAACATCTAATATACATACATTTACTAGAGATCATACCAAGTTAGTTTCCAAGAACTCAATGTAAGGTATTTTAAATCATATTTGCCAAATTAAACAGATAATAAACAAATGCATTCGTAATTCAGTTCTGGGTGGAGGAAGATCATCGTGCGTCGTTGCCATTATCGCTTAAGGGGAATAAGGACGTCCTTTTTGCTCCGCCTTCGAGAGTTTTACGTTTCAAACCGCATTGGTCAAATGTGTGACGTCGAATAACTGTATCGAGTTACAGTTTTTTGAAGAGCATGTTGACCATATGTATTCGTGTTAACTTAACCTATGTTTTAATTTTGATTATTGTGGAGAACCAAAAAACTCAATTTGATATTCCGTCCAGTCGTACTGGAATAATTGGTGTTGGCGTTATAATCTTTCGATTCGCCCAAGAAGACTTAGCTGCAGATGCAGCTAAGCAAACTTAAAGTACAAACAAACAAACAAAACTAATATCTATCGAAATTTATAAAAATTTCTCGACAGTTAAAATAATTACAATAAAATAGTAAAAATACCATCAAACATGTATATTATATAAATGGAAAATAGCTTTGACTATTTAATGACGATTTCGAAAAATCAGTTGACGATTTTGACGATTTTTTCCTCGAAATTTGACGATTTTACACCCAAATCATCTGGCAACTATGCAGCGAAGTACCTGAACAACGATTTTTAGACATTTCTATTAAAAATGTTGTACCATCAGACTATTTTGAACACATAAGTTAAGCAGCAAATTTATTTGTATTTTTTCCTTTTTTCGTCCTATCGTTCAGGACACGTAACAAATTATTTTGGACTGTCATTTCGCTCATATTTTATTTATTTTTTTTTTAGTTAAGACTATATGTGCAAATTTTCATTCCTAGCTTCTTGTTATATATACCCTTCACCTTCGTGAGAAGGGTATATATAAGTTTGTCATTCCGTTTGTAATTTCCAAAATATAATTTTCCGATCCTATAAAGAATATATATTCTGAATCCTTATAGATAGCGGAGTCGAATAAGCCATATCCGTCTGTCTGTCTGTTGAAATCAGTTTTCTGAAGACCCCAAATATCTTTGTGATCCAAATCTTCAATAATTCAGACATGCTTTCGAGAAGTTTCCTATTTAAAATCAGCAAAATCCGTCCATAAACAACGGAGATATAAGTAAAAATCCGAGACAACCTCTGCAAATTTCATAAAAAATAACCAACAACAACACTGCTTATTCATTGCGTTGTGTATTTTGTTTTTTGATTATTTCGTTTCGTATGTTTGAATAGCTGTGTGTTTTATTACCATGTGTATGTTGTTTTTGTTTCTTGGTTTATTCAGTTTCGTATGTTTGGATGGATGTGTGTTTCATTGCCTTGTGTATATTGTTTTTGTTTCTTAGTGTATTCGTATGTTTGGATGTCTGTTGGTTTCATTGCGTTGTGTATTTTGGTTTTGTTTTTTTGTATACTTCGTTTCGTATGTTTGGATGTCTGTTGGTTTTACTGTCTTGTGTAATTTGTGTGTTTATTTCGTTTAGCGTTGTTGTTGTTTATTTTGTTTATTTTGTTTACTATAATAATGATATTGTCGTGAAAATAAAATAAATTTAAATTTTATAAAATTGATATTTTTATACCCACCATCAATAAAGATGGGGGGTATATTGATTTTGTCATTCCGTTTGTAACACATCGAAATATTGCTCATAGACCCATAAAAGTATATATATTCCGGGTCCTTATTAAATTCTAAGACGATCTAGCTACGTCCGTCCGTCTGTCTGTTGAAATCACGATAGGGACCACACGAGAGGAGCTAGACAGTTGAAATTTTGTGTAAATATTCTCTATTGTTAAGGTTTGTTTGGTATTGAAAATGGACAATATCGGTCCACTTTTTCGGATAGCCCCCATACAAGTAGACCTTCAAAAAACAGCTTCAACGGGCATAACTGCTTTAGAAGTACAAGTATAGCGATAAAATTCGACAAATAAGTTCCATATGAGCCAAAATCTTTCTACCAAATTTTTTCAGGATCGGCCCATAAATGTCCCTACCCTCCATATAAGGTCTCTTCAGAAAATGACTTTAACACTCATTACTGACCTAAAAATTCGGGTATAGCGATAAAATTCAGTATAAGTCAGTTTCTTGCGAACCAAAACCTTTTAACCAATTTTTTTTAGGATCGGCCCATAAATGACCCTACCCCCCATATAAGGTCCCCTTCTGAAAATAACTTTAACACTCATTACTGGCCCCAAAATGCAAGTATAGCGATGAAATTCGACATAAATAAGTTTCATGTGAGCCAAAATCTTTTTACCAAATTTTTTGAGGATTGGTCCATAATTGAACCTACCCCTCATATAAGGTCCCCTTTAGAAAATTACTTTAACACTCATTACTGGTCCAAAAATGCGAGTATAGCGATGAAATTCAGTATAAGTCAGGTTCTTGCGAACCAAAACCTTTTAACCAATTTTTTTTAAGATCGGCCCATAAATGACCCTACCCCCCATATAAGGTCCTCTTCTGAAAATGACTTTAACGCTCATTACTGGCTAAAAAATACGAATATAGCAATAAAATTTTACACAATTATGTTCCTCGCAAGCCAAAATCTTTTTAATAACTTTTATTATGGATAGGTCCATAATTGGCCCTTCTCCCCCTATTGGGTCCACTTCAGGAAATAGCTTTAACGCTCATCACTGTCTTAAAAATAAGGGTAAAGCGATGAAATGCTACACACGTAAGTTTCTTACGAGCCAAAATCTCTGTACCAATTTTTTTTTTTGGATCGGCCCATAAATGACCCTTCCCCCATATAAGGTCCCCCTCTGCAAATAACTATACTGCTCATTACTGGCTTGAAAATATGAATGTAGTGACGGAAATTGACGCACATAAGTTTAATGCGGGCCAAAATCTCTCCACCAAATTTAGGGAGGATCGGTCCATAATTTACCCTACCGCCCATACAAGGTCCCCTTTAGAAAATTTCTTAAACGATCATTACTGGCTTAAAAGTATGAGTTATGAAATACGATTATGAAATTTGCTCCGAATTTCATGCGGAATGTGTCGATAATTCACCCTATCCCCCCATATAAGCCCCTTTATAAAATTACATGAACGCTAATTGCTGGCATAAAAATGCGAGAACAGCGATGATATTCAATGTAAACAAGTTTTATATGAACCAAAATCAGTCTACAAAAAGTTATGGGGATAGGTCAACAATTGACCATACACCACATATGAGATCCTCTTCAGAAAATTTGATGAGGAAAACTCAGATAATTAGAAGTACAGCGGTTAAAATCGACATAAAAAAGTTTATACTTAGGAACATAATTCTTCATTCCGAAATTAATGAGGACTGATTTATAACTGACCCTAGCCCCTATAAAAGGTTCCCTTCAGGAAAGAGTTTTGGTTAATAAAATACGAGTGTTCCTTATTTAAAATACGAGTATGGCGCATAAATAAG